TTGGGTGGTTCTAGCTAGTATAATTAAAGTCCTTACTTTCACCCTAAGAATATGTTGCCTACTTTATCAAATTTGACTTTTGACAGCTTGTCTGTAATATACAACCCCATTTCAAAATTCCATTTTATTTAGTATCGCTCATTGTTTATTTGTTTTTTTTTTTCGTTTCTTGTACTGGCGGACTATACTCCGCTTTTCATGGAACACATTGAAGGTTCCATGAAAACCGCCGGATGAACATATCTACGGATGTTTCCATATTCAAAATTTTACGATTTAATGTTAAATGTTAACTTCTGCTGGGGCTTGGACGGTAGCTTGCACTTTCCAGTACAGTCAATTGATAATTAAAAGGCTTATTCAAACCGAGTCTGCAACATTTTAATTGTTTCCGTTTTGCAACGTTCTTTAAACATCAGTTTCAGAGTGACCATCCTCTATTTGCATGTTATCATTTATTTATTATTATAAAGCATATCGGAGCATGTAAATCATATGTATACTTTATTCAACATAATATTCGAGCGCATTTGAGTAAGAGATATATTTAAACATTAAGAATAACATTATTTATTAGATAACTTTGACATAATTCTGGCTAATGTACCAAAACAACTAATAATTTGGCATGTTAGTTGTATATGTATTAAGAAATGACTTGATTTATTAGTTAATATTTCGCTAGTACTATACCCATGCAGGTCAGGGTATCGCATTGTAACACGGCCAGCGATTGGCTGAAAAAAAGTGCAGGGAAAACCGTATGATTCAGTTTATACATGAGGCGATTGGATGAAAGTGGGGTTTTTTAAGTATAAAAACTAATTTAAAAAGTAACACTACAATGTTTTCTGAAGAAAAGAAATATTTCATGAGTCTCTGTGATAATTTTGACTTGGATATTTGCATTTATAAAAAGTGTATGTCAGTCCTGTGATCAGCAGAAAATTTCAATGAAATGGGGGGTAATCCTCTTTGAAGTCATTTTGCAAAAAATTTGGTTGGCTACCCCTATATAACAGGAACATTTTTATGTGTCACGCATTTCATTCTGCTAGAAAAAATACCTCTTAAGCATGAAAACTGAATTCTAAGGTGGGATAAGGGACCATTTCTTATAATGTAAGTCTATGGAAATATCAATGTGAGTGTCTGACCTAAAGAGAGGGAAATTGGAACTGTCATAATTCACAGTAGTACTTTGTCTTCATTGATTACACCATGAAAAGCTGATATTTTGGAAGAATGGATGTATACAGCCTGTCTAGGTATGAAATTTCATTATTTCAGTGCAACTGTTGGTGTTTACAGCAGATAATGTGTCAAAGGGGTCAATCTACAAGCATTGTTTACATATGAACAAGAGTATTAGTGTTACATAAGAGTTAATAATGGTTTATATTTTCTTTGAACAGTGAATTTGAGTGATAATCAATTGGTGACATGTTGATGATGAATAATGTAGACCTTGGTCATTAAAAATATTTTTTCAGATTTCAAAGAAATGCTGTACATTGGCTACACACATGCCAGGTTTGAAGACTTCATGTATAACTTGACAGGACTTGATGTAAGCACATTGGCCACTTTTGATGGGTGTTGCAGGTATATCATTACAAATGCATTTTGTCAGGTTCAAAACTGATATATAATAATTAAAAAAGTTTAGGGTGCTGTTTCGATTAACTTTTCGACTTTATTTAGGGGCGGAAATTTCTTCGCTCGGCACTAATTTTTACCATTTTGCTCAAATATTTAAAATAGAATGTCACAAATAATTGCTTCTTTGTCTGTTTTCCTATATAAGAATGTTTTGTGTTTCACTTCCAGGCATAGATAGCATTAAAGCTTCAAATAAAATAGCATTTTAAGGCTTCTGTCATAAAATTTACTTGGTTTCAGGGCATGAATATCAACACATACTTAGAAATTGAAATCCATTGAAAAAATGTAGCATAATTCAGTTAGGTTGCCTCTGAATAGCCTCCTTATTATGTGGTTAAGATGCAAAATAGTGATAAGAATTTATTGTTTTCTATTTGGTAATACATATTTACACACTCACAATTGTATAATGCCATAGTTTTTAGACTTTATGTCTGTTTAATGCATAATTGAATGTGCATCATAATGGCCAAGGGTAGAATTATTTTGTAGAAAAGTTTTATTGATAAGTAAAAGTTGATCTACTTTTTCAAAATCATATCAGGGGCACAATTATAACACAGCTTTAGTGTCTGTGATGTGTCTATAAACAGAAAAAGCACTTATTCTGGTAGATAAATGTATAAAAAGGGTGTGATTATGCACAACTTCAGTGAATTACCTCCCTTTATTTATTGAGAAACTTAGATAAGTGCATAAATTCTAGTTTCTGGTTACCTAAATGAGAAAAAAATGCACATTACTGTCCATTCCAAGTACAATTTGGTCTGAAGAGGTGATTTACATGTTAAAACACCTGAAAGAAGGTTTCAATTGTCATATTTGACTCCAAATGAATGCAAAAATGACCAAAAAATTGGTGTAGAAGTCAAATTTTAGGCTTTTACTGTGCTGTTAAATCCAGAGGAACTTGGTTTTTCCATATATTGCATTTATTTATATCCATGTAAGAGAGAGACAAAAATATATAAAGAATTTTGGCATTTTATTGACATTTAGGCTTGTTTTTAAGACTATATATGCAAATATTTGGAGTAGAAAAATATAGCAGGGCAGTTTTGAAATACCTAGTTACACCAAAAATGTTGCTATGTGTGTACAAATAATGTGTTATCCATAATCAGGTCATTATACAGTAATTATTAAGTATGTTTGCTAAGCTAAATCTTCATTCAGGAAGTCTATTGGTAATAAAATGTTGAAATTTGGGTGAAAAATCACTTATTTTGTTATGGGTGGGGTGATAAAATTGCTCCCTGCTGCATCCTTTTGTTACAAAATTAGTATTTTGAAGCACTTCTGTAATGAGAACAGTGTAGTTTTGCTATCTGTGTGATTTTATGGAAGTTGTTACAAAATTGGCTTCAGAATAATGAGTTAAGTATAAAAATCACATGCTAAAATTCATTTTCAGAATATCCGGAATGAGGCATAACGGCGCTTGTTACAAAAAAGGGAACTTCAAAGTTTTAAATGACTTAAGAGTGGTGAAAATGCATCCACATTATTGTAATTGTATATGCAACTTCATTTATTATTAGATTTTAGAATACTAAACATTTAATATTCCCTTTAGGTCAGGGTATCGCATTGTAACACGGCCAGCGACTTGGCCTGAAAAAAAGTGCAGGGAAAACCGTATGATTCAGTTTATACATGAGGCGATTGGATGAAAGTGGGGTATTTTTAAGTATAAAAACTAATTTAAAAAGTAACACTACAATGTTTTCTGAAGAAAATGAAATATTTCATGAGTCTCTGTGATAATTTTGACTTGGATATTTGCATTTATAAAAAGTGTATGTCAGTCCTGTGATCAGCAGAAAATTTCAATGAAATGGGGGGTAATCCTCTTTGAAGTCATTTTGCAAAAAATTTGGTTGGCTACCCCTATATAACAGGAACATTGTTATGTGTCAGGCATTTCATTCTGCTAGAAAAAATACCTCTTAAGCATGAAAACTGAATTTTAAGGTGGGATAAGGGACCATTTCTTATCATGTAAGTCTATGGAAATATCAATGTGAGTGTCTGACCTGCAGCCAGTGTCGTCTGATCATTGTCTGCACTTTTCGCTATTCCGTCAGTACATGTATAGCTACATTTGACATGCGTATCGGTAAATGGGAGATAACCCCTATAAAATATGTGCATAGTACGTACACTGGTTATGCTATCTTGATAATGTTTATGTTAGATTATCATGTATAAATAATACATACATGTGCTAAGGTAAGGGGGTTAAAGGATGTTGAACTTTTTCATTACTCCTCATGTACAGACTCAATCAAACCGAGTCTGCAATGTTCATATTATTTTGTTGTGATTAATGCTTCCGAGTGATCACTTTTAAACTTCACAACCACAGGGGTCGAGTGTTGTGTGGCAAGCTGTAAAATATTGCCCCTTACTTCACTTCAGTGTTGTTATATTTTTTTCTGATCACACTTCTTCAGATTTTTACACTATTAAGTATAGATTTTATGTGATTAATAAAATATGTTATGTTTTGTAAAATATTGTGAGGTGAATTAACAAATAAAGTAATATAACATATTGCAATCGGTAATTACAATCCAAGAAAATGACTAAAAAGTGGTCAAATATGCAAAATAAGCCCTTACTGCGTTAGTAACGCTGTAGAAATATGGTGATAAAATACTGCAAATCAGTCTTAAACCGCACATAACATGTAAAATTTAACTTGGATCTTGAATGTTTTTATTTTCATAAAATGTTAGTACATTTTTCCTAATATTAATTTTCTTGAAATATTTTGGCTCATCTGGAGGCGTGCAGCTTTAAGTTACGTTATGTAAGGTTGTGTTGTTTCGTATCTTGTTACGTTATTTTATTAACGCGTAATTATGCTATAAATGTTCATCAAAATACTGTGTGCCGGAATATACATGTACTCGTAACTAAATTTGTAATTTAATAAAGCGAAACTTGAAAGTTAAAAACTATTATTCTACTGAACATACATAAATTAATTAATTAATTATTATATGCTAGTTTATACCTTCTTCAACCATTCTTTTTTCATTCAGCGTATACATTGTTGGTGTACCCGAGACAAACGGTAAGTAGATGTCAAAAGAGCTTTATTTTCTTGTTGTGTTTAAATCAAAACTAAACACAATTTTATAACGTCGCCATTTTTTACGATACCTATGTATATGTGTGTACGCAAATTAAGTCAATTGACGTTATTACCTTGATATTTTGTTCACTTGCCCTGTTGATATGGGAAGCAATCGACATCTTTTTAAAATGAGAAATGTTGGTCATATTAAGTGAAATTTTCTGGTTTCGGCACTTTTAATTTTATGCATATACTTTTAAGTTAAATATGCCAAATCTAAAAATGCTTGTTTTTTGCTAAATCAAAGGCCAAAACTCAAATAACCACAGTACGTAAAATCACATGATTACAAATATTTAAATAAAACTTCATGACTCAAGGGGTTTGGTTGTTATACATGATATGCTTTTTATAGACTTGTGTCCACAGGACACCGATTCCCACCACATTCTAGTGTTTTGTCAGTCGATGGAAGTACATCATGTCGTGTTGAATGCCCTTTGCAGTCCAGGGGAAACATTGATATCCACGTTTTATATCAAACGAGCACAGGGTGATCATCTTTATGAAACAAAACAACCTCGACACATGCTTAGATAAGCATTAAGCAGAAGAGATATTCCAGAAATCCGATAATTTTCCCATCTATTTAGGAGGTTATAGTTACAGCTTAGTATATACATGTATATCAGTAACAAGCTCGACGCATTGGTCACTTTTACGTGCACAGGGAAGCTGTAAGTAGATGTACAGTCCTGACACACATTCGTTAACTGTATCATTTCTTTCTTTCTCGACAGTCTAAATCAATTATAATAATGATTTGAACGATTTGAGGAAGAAACAATCGTAATGAAAACTATTTTAAATGCATCAACAACATAAAGAAAATTGCTAATTAAAGGTCATTTTCAAACTCCACTTTTGAAGTTAGACCACACACGCTAACATTTACTTATACCTTATTATTTCATAAAGTCAATTTCTGTAAAATTATAAATGAAAATATGTCTGATTATTATTATGAAATTAGAAACGTCCACTGATGTACAATGATAACAAATCTGAATTAATGTCAACAGATAGGCATTTTTTTCTTTGGGTTTCTATAGTCATAAAAATAGGTATAAAATGATGTATTGTTTACTTTTATATCTATTAATTAACTCAATTTAGGACTGATATATTGACATATGATATATTGGAATAACCTTAGACAACAACTCCCAGCATAATTATGTATCTTTTATTATCCGTTATTTGGTCGACTGAGCCATCTCTCTTTCAGTTAGATAGTCGACGTGGACCATCTCTTTCCGTTAGATAGACAGTCGAAATTGACCATCTTTTTTGCTGTTTGGTCCGACTGGGCCATTTCTCTCCCGATTATTTGGTCCGGCTGCGCCATTTCTCTCCCAATTATTTGGTCCGACTGGGCCATTTCTCTCCCAATTATTTGGTCCGACTGGACCATTTCTCTCCCGATTATTTGGTCCGACTGCGCCATTTCTCTCCCAATTATTTGGTCCGACTGGGCCATTTCTCTCCCAATTATTTGGTCCGACTGGGCCATTTCTCTCCCAATTATTTGGTCCGACTGCGCCATTTCTCTCCCAATTATTTGGTCCGACTGGGCCATTTCTCTCCCAATTATTTGGTCCGACTGCGCCATTTCTCTCCCAATTATTTGATACGACAGGGCTATCTCTGCGCACATTGTACGGTTCATATGGGCTATCTTCTTTACCATAAAACATACTTGGATGTATGTCCCATCCAGAATTTGTTGGAATGATGCGTTTGGTCCATGTTTTATATGCATATGGATCTACACCTTTTCCACCCCTTCGTCCAAGTAAACCATCGTTTTTCTTACCAGACGGTCCAGTTATAAAGGCGTTGATCGGTTTAGGCGTTCCGCTGTGTAATGATCTGATCTCAAAACGACCTTCCGCTCCGCTTCTGTAATCTGAAAAAGTCATTTAAAATGCGTTTAATGAACAAATCGTGTGTGTGTCTGTGTGTCTGTGTGTTTGTGTGTGGGGGGGGGGGGGGGGGGGGCGTTAAGCACGCATTCTAAACCATGTCACAGCTTAAATTGTGATTTTCATTCTGAATATATGTTCAAATGTTAAAATTTTAATTTGTGTGTGGGAATGAACCATTTGACAAAAGAAAAATGTAGAAGAAATAGTTCTGTGAGGTTCTAGTTGTAAAACACTCACAGACCATCTAAACGTATAGGTCAATAAATGCTCTGAATAAATTTAGATCGTTCGATCACTCCCGTTTTTCCAAAAAAGTCATTTTAATTGTGGAAAATAACCAAAATTGAAGAGCTTTACTATCTTTTTCATATATTTCTTTTTATGTGTCCAGCTGATCTATGTAAAATTTTAAATCATATTTTATGTTTTAAAACCTTCGGAACTCGGTGGAATTCCTTTAAATATAAAAGATTACCCGTGATTCAAACGATATTTTATTTGTTCACAAAAATATTACAAATGAGTACTGTAAATACTTGAAATCGCCGTCACACATATGAACCAATTAATAATATGTTAATACAGTTATGATATTTCAATTAGGTATTTGTACTTTAATTTTGACAGTTGTACACCACTGGTATTTAGTAGATTGCAGACAAGTTTGGTATTACTTAATACCATTTGACTAAAAAAACTCTGGACTGTAAAATACAGAGTGTTAACACTCGTTATATTCAAAATGGTTTAGATTGAAAAATAACTCTTTAAGTGTTGATGTGTCGTATACAAATTAATCCCCCATAGAACCTTTTTACTTTTGACAACGTAGCTTTGAAAAGTTTATTTCAACCTTTTTTCCACATTTCAAATAAGTCAATCAACAATATAGTACAAGTCATTTATTACAGCGTGTATTATTTCAGATCTGTGCAGACGTTCCGTAACCTATCTCGATAACTTCCCCCAAATGACAGAATTAAAATGTCCCTGACGGAATACGAATCTGCAGCGGTGAAGGGCACGTGGTTTAAAGTCGAAAATCTTAACCACTCGGCCAGGGACCCCACCCTGACTAAATGTATTTAAACGTTGTTTTGTTACCGAATTCATATTATGTAAATGGGAGAATTAAATTGTTTTCTTAAACTATATCATATTTATTATTATTTTATTGTTATTTTAGATAAAGAGTCATTGATTTTTCAATTTATCAAAGTCTGTACAATGCATATTTTATTATAAATATACATTTTGATACATACATCAGTAATAAAATTACAAAATAAAAACGAGGGAATAAAATTATTTTCTCTTTTTTTCAATCAAGTTTTCCTTAAAAACTACAAAGATAATTTTGGTCTCCGTTCGCATTTTAACTTCCGTATGGGTTTAAACTTTAAAGCAGCATGCCTCCATGCATGCAGATCCAACATTGCAGTCATTTAAAAATAAAAATGTATTCAAAAGTAAAACATTGTGAAGTGAACAAAGCAAGTAATTTACAAAATACAAACGGCACTTGAACACCATCAAAATTACTTTTAATAAGCAAAGTCAGATAATAATTAAATAGTAAAATAATAAGTCAGAATAAGCAAAAATAACCCATACTGCGTTAGTCGCGATAAATACTGCAAAACCAGTCATAAATCGCACATAATATGTAAACCTTAACTTAAAGCTTGGATCTTTTTTACTTTTCTTAAAATTTAGTACATTTTTCTCATGTTTGACTTTCTTGAAATATTTTGGCTTAAACTCGCATCGATCATAAAGCGACTTCCTGTCTTTACTGGTGTAGGAAACATCAGGTTAGTCTGGGATTCCTAACCAGGCTAAACAGCAGGTGACCTACTGTGCATTATATCCAGGCCTGCTTAATGCACACCTTTAGCACATTGATTTGTGCTTCGCTTCAAATTAGGTGTGCTATTTCCATTGCCGACATTGTTCACGCAGATTTTAAAACTAATCAAGGTAGGTGCATGGTGCTGTTTAGGTGGTGATTTCTAAAATGTTTGTAAATCATTTTCCAAAATCAAAACAGTAGTTCGGTCTGGCTTCTGTTATAGCATGTGTGTGGTGGCTGATTTGTGCCATTCGTGTTTTTTTTTGCCCCGCGACCCCGCCAAGCGAATAGTCGAAAATTAACAAGTAAAAATGGCGGGGGCGCGGAGCAAAAACACGCTAATAAGCGAGGGCGCGAGGCGAAGGATAATTAATAAAATTTCGACCCGCGTGGCGCGGAGCGAGATTTAAGAAATAAAACGGGAAGAAAACACCCTAATTAGCGGGTGCGCGGAACGAAGTTTAAAGGGAAAGACAAGGTTAGAATAAAAACTTGATTTCAGAAAAAGAATACTATAAATAATAAGTCTGCAAATTTTCTGCCGCCAAATAATAATATTAAACGAATAATAACAAAATTTAAATCGCTAAATCACCGATTTCTACAAATCAGTAAGCGCGGCCATGTTTGTGTATTGACCGTATAAAAACAGGTGCGCGTGATGTCATTTCCCCACATCTTTAGATTCATGATAAATCTAGTTGAATCGTAAGGAAATATTAATTAATGACCAGACAATTTAATTTTCACAGGAGGTGTAGAGAAGATTTTTATGGTTCAAAATACGTAACAATATCAAAAAAAATAAAAAAAATAAAGAAACGTACGGCTAGCCAAAAGTTCTAGTACGTGAGTCACGAACGACTAGCCAGGACGCACTGTACGTATTGTCTAGCCGTACGGCACTTTTCAAAATTATATGGAAGTCAAACGTTATAAAATTGTTGATTTTCATGCTTATCATTTGTTGTTTTATTTGTATGAATTATTAAATCATTTTTGTTAATTTTAAGCACATGGATCGAATAAAAAATGATCGGAGTGGAATAAATAAATAAAAAGAACATTGAATGAAAAAAAACGGTGAAATGCAAAATAATTATATAATTTTCAAAACAGTAGATAAATATCGAACATAAAAGCACAGTCAATCAATTAATTAGCCTTGATTAAAACCTATCCAGGGACTGACAATAGAATTTTAGAATGCCTTTCACGGAACATGCAAACTTTCCTTGATGGACAAACTTCTATACAGTACCGTCGGTAATTGTCGCAATTATCAAGAGCCTAACAACAATCATTTTCAGTGTTTGTTGTTTTTTTTTTAATATAAAATGTGTCGAAAATTAAACTTAATGAAACAAAAAAGGGTTATTATCAAAATTTTGTAAACTATTTCAATTGGTGTAATTGCAAGCAAAGGCTATTTTTTTTTCTCGACATCTTGCGATGACAAAGATCGATATATATAACGATCAAGGCGATTAATCTCTAAAAAGTTAACATCCAAAGACAATTAATGCTGTTTCTTGGTTAAAATCCTCGCTTAAAGTCATAAAATAACATATGCATTTTCGACTTAAATAAAATTTTGAAAAGTGCCGTTCGGCTAGCCAATACAGCGTGTCCTTGCTAGTCGTACGTGACTCACGTACGGCTAAAACTTTTGGCTAGCCGTACGGGCCCGTACGCTAGCCACTTCCATTATAAAAACCCTACTAAAACGTGTTCTTAATAGTACATATAATTAAATTTTTGCAGTTTGATTCTGACTTTCAAATTTAAAGGTGTGAACATATGTTATAATTGATGTACACATTTCAAAAATATAAGCAACTCTTTTGAAAAGTAAATTGTTAACATGTCTTTCAACGTATGATGCTGCGCATCGTAATCGTAGACTAATATTAACTGCAGGCAAATCATTTTTATTGGCTGCTCAAAAGTCTAATTTGCATAATTTATTCACACAATTGCTGGTTCTTACTACTTATGTCTATTACTGCGCATTGTCCATTTTAATTGTTCCTAATTTGCACCAAATGCTCCTGTCACACTGTGTACTGACGATTTTTATTGCTCCTTGTATGCCTCTGTGCCGACATACCTTTTGATCATGCACAATGTTGCCCTGATTGGTTAATCACCCTTGTCAAATATTCTAATGACGAAATAGACATCTATTTTTTTACGCTTCATCAGTGAACTGAATGACCTTAGGGGGAATTAGGTTCCACACCTGTCAAATTATACTGTAGTAAATTACAGCACGTCATAAAATAGCAACACATTTTTTTCAGTTACCAATAATCATTTTAAATATTAAGTAGATTTATGATTTTTTGTTTTATTGGATTAAATTTACGGTAGTAGAAATGCGTATCTGTCGGGGAAAGGAATTTGGTATGTAGATATATATTGGATTTAGTTGATATTTTACCTGGAAAAAAGATACATGACCGGCGATGTACCCTATTTGGACAGCTTGTCTAGCGAAAATTAAGTACAAAATAAAAGGATATATCGTCAATTTGAAGAAGTTTCTCATAGTACCCAAATTAAATTTATGGTTTATCTTTGAAAATTAAGCAGTCATTGCTTAAATCATGTGGTGGGATCATCAGCAAGATTGAATATAATAATTAATGTCGCGGCGTCTTCAATTAATTAATTAAAGCAATTCAGTTCCATATGATGTTTTCATAAATAATATGTACGCAATAAAATTAATAAGTTCTTCATCAAGATATATTTCAGTTGTACCAGCGTGTACACCTATACCGGAAGTGGGTATTACACGTCACAATCTCGGTCTCGTCTGTCTCGCGAGAATGACAGAACGCCAAAATGGCGGCGCCCATGAACTTATTTCTCAAGTAAAAAATAGTGTCTTAAAACACGAATTTCTCTCTTATAGGGTTGATGTCAATAGGAAAACTGTCATGGTTCCTCTTTTTAAATGATGAATATTTATATTAGACAGACATCAATCCATCCATTCCTATTCCTTTAATAAATAAAGTTTCGCCGCGCGCCCTCGCTAATTAGCGTGATTTCGTCCCGCGATCCCGCCAAGCGAAAAGTCGATAATTAACAAGTTAAATTGGCGGGGACGCGGAGCGAAAACACGGACCACGGACATGTCACCAATCATGTTGAGAGTGGGACCCAAGTCAATTTCTAGTTGAAGCGATTGCCGAGTGGCAAAGATAGGGTCGTGGGTGCAAGCCTCATTTAGGTCACGACTATGTTTCTTTAAATTTCACCAGTGTAATGGACTTTAGAGTGGTTCTAATAGAATAGATATGTTTCAACAAAATCAGTATTTTATGGTGATGGGACATGTTTCTTTTTAAATTCTTACAGGTGTCAATATTATAAACGTTTCAAATAAGGTGAAGTCACATCATGTCTTAACTCGAGCTACTGAGGCTGGTTAATGATTTTTCAGCAGGAGTAAGAAAATGGGCCATTTTAAAGAGTAATATCAGACGCGTCAGTATACTATTTTTACACCCAAATTCCTTACGAACGGACAAAGCTATTACGTGTAGCACACCTTAATTCGTAATAAACAACTTTTTCAATAGTTTAAAACTGTTTAATTTCTATTATCTGTGGTTAAGTTAACATTTTGCTCACAGAATTCTCAGAATAGGGTCATTAATTGTGCAAAATAAATATATATGATCGGAGAGTCCATACTCTTTAATGAAAATGACCCTCGATCACTATGGTTTATAATATTAAGAATATTGTCTCTCTCCTTCACATTCATATATGAAAAAAGAGCACTCTGAGTATTAGCACGCACTAGCAATAGCAAAACATCTCACTCAAACTTAGATATAAATATTCACCAATCATTGATCAATTACTGTTCAAATTTATGGAGAACGTTTTACATACATGTTTTAGGTGCTTACTTTAAAAGATACAGTTAGAATATTGTATTCCGAGGACACAAAAGCTCATATCAATATTAATAATGATAAATATAAAATGTAAACAGAAAAAAAAACATTTCTCCATTTGATTTTAACACACTGCAAAGTGCTTATCGTCATAACCCGAGTAGAACTTCTTTTCGTATTTATATGAGTTTCGTAGCATTTTTTTTCGCTTATCAGCTAATTAAGAACACTAATAGAAATCAAAACATGTTTTAATACTGGGAAACTATGAATAAGAACTTACCAAGAATAGTGAAGACAAATAAAACAAAGGACCACTCTTTCATGTTCATCCTGAACCAATCGGCTATTTAGTGTACGTCTCCAACTGAGCTTAGCTTTATCACGGGGGAGGAAGTGTTACACGAAGGATGAAGTTCTTATGATAACTTGTTTGGAGTTCTTATGATAACTGTCACGGAGTTCCTGGAAAACGTTACGGATTTCTGTGGAAAACTTTTCTATTTACTTGGAGAACTCACGTGAAAAATGGTCATTTTTACCTTTAAATGGGGAGTTTGAGGTGCTAAATTAAACTTTGATAATTAAGCTTGCCCTACATATTGTATAATGTTTCAGAAAAACCTTTTATTCCATTTTTCATCGCCTATTTATAAAAGAATTTAGTAGTTTAGAGTAAAATTTCCAAATTACTTGCTCATTCGTACATATTGACCTTTTCATTTGTGATCTTCTTCGTTGCTATACATAATTACATAATTATAATGCAGAGTTGCAAACATAAAGCCCAGGCTAATAAATTTATACCCGATTTTTCAAATGTCACGGAGTTCTTGTGATAACTCAAAATATGTCCTGGAGTTCTTATTATAACTTTTGTTACTGCCAGGGTGTTTCTTGTGCTAAATTACGGCTTGTTTAAGCGTATTTTATTAGTCAATAAGTGTGTAAATCATTATGAAGCATAGTACGCGTATCATTTGCACACACATTTGGTTATAAAACGGTGGTTTAGAGTGTATTTCAGTTCAAGAGATATTTTTCTTACCTCCGTTTCTTGTGTTTTTTTTGTGTTTGTTTGGGTTTTTGGGTTTGTTTGATTGTTTTTTTTGACTGAAAACATACTTTATGTAGTCAAGAGCATTTACTTACAGGATAAAAATACGCTTTGAATTTAATATCTAAGCATGATTTCTTCAGTATACATTATTCCTGGCAGTTCTAGAGAACATATAAAGTAATTATGCTATCGGTCTGCCGAAACAAATTACATGTAAATGGTTGCAGCAAAATAGGAAGTAGTATGCATTACCTTTATCTAAATTTAATGAGGTGGGTGTCATCTTTAGATATTCAATGGATATCTTAATTTCTAAAAGGTATAAATTTTGTCATAGAAACGTATAAAGTTCTATGACAATGATATGACAATAGAAAGTAAGCCTTTAATGGTGACTCACATATATTATTAAATTCTTACTTTCTATTGTCATATCATTGTCATAGTACTTTATACGTTTCTATGACAAAATTGATACGTTTTAGAAATTAAGATATCTATTGAATATCTAAAGATGACACCCACCTCATTAAATTTAGATAAAGGTAGTGCATACTACTTCCTTTTTTTTGCTGCAAACCAACCATTTACATGTAATTTGTTTCGGCAGACCGATAGCATAATTACTAATATGTTTTCTAGAACTGCCAGGAATAATGTATACATGAAGAAATCATGCTTAAATATTAAATTCAAAGCGTATTTTTATCCTGTAAGTAAATGCTCTACATCAAGTATGTTTTCAGTCATTCCAATAAAATGAAAAAAAAAACAACAATCAAACAAACCCAAAAACCCAAACAAACACAAAAAAAACCACAAGAAACGGAGGTAAGAAAAATATCTCTTGACCACCGTTATATAACCAAATGTGTGTGCAAATGATACGCGTACTATGCTTCATAATGATTTACACACTTATTGACTAATAAAATATGCTTAAACGGGCCGTAATTTAGCACAAGAAACACACTGGCAGTAACAAAAGTTATCATAAGAACTCCAGGACATATTTTGAGTTATCACAAGAACTCCGTGACATTTGAAAAATCGGGTATAAATTTATTAGCCTGGGCTTTATGTTTGCAACTCTGCATTATAATTATGTAATTATGTATATCAACGAAGAAGATCACAAATGAAAAGGTCAATATGTACGAATGAGCAAGTAATTTGGAAATTTTACTCAAAACTACCAAATTTTTTTATAAATAGGCGATGAAAAATGGAATAAAAGGTTTTTCTGAAACGTTATACAATATGTAGGGCAAGCTTAATTATCAAAGTTTAATTTAGCACCTCAAACTCCCCATTTAAAGGTAAAAATGACCATTTTTCACGCGAGTTCTCCAAGTAAATAGAAAAGTTTTCCACAGAAATCCGTAACGTTTTTCAAGAACTCCGTGACAGTTATCATAAGAACTCCAAACAAGTTATCATAAGAACTCCATCCTTCGTGTAACACTTCCTCCCCCGTGTTTATAGTACATTTTTAAACAGACGTACGTTTTACATGATGATATTCCACACCGTATTACCGGCGGCAGTGATGGCAGATCACTGCAGTGATGGCAGATATCTGAAAATTACCGATCGGTACAGGTAGGTTATAAATTTGGTTGGTTTAATTATATTACACAAATACGGCCCATATCATTGCTATAAAACTATTGTCCATTGAATGGAGATAATGTAAGGTAATTTTGGACTCGTTTTTTTTCCTGTTTTAAGACTATTTTGAGCAGGTTTTAAAAGTGAAAGCCTTGGAAAAAAATCCGTGGAAAATGTCTGTTTTCTGTTCAAAATATCTCAAGTTTTAAGTAAATGGCAGGATTTCCTGTTATCAATATAGACGTTCATCCATTGGGGTCACGCAAGCCAAATATCTACCCCCGTGAGTCTTTTCTTGAAAGTTTTACAGACGCTCAATCTTGTCCGTCGAAGAAAAAAATGCTGCCGTTGTAGGCAGATACATATTATAAATGCTGCCGTCGATGGCAGAAATACCACGAAAGTGGCTAACATTCTGACAGAAAATCAAGTTCAATTCTTTTATCAATTCCTCTTTTCTTTGCGTCCTTTTAGTCAGAATTGAGACGTTAAACTATCATTTCTAATATCTTCTCAAGATAGAAAAGTTATTAATGCGGTGTGTGCATCGAAAAAAGCTTTTTAGCAACATGCAGTTACAATACAAAAAATGATTTA